TATAAAAAAAAAAAAAAAAAATATATATAGATATATATATATATATATATATATATATATATATATATATATATATATATATAAAATGCTGTTTTGTTTTGTTTTGTTTTTTTGTTTTTAGGTGGGCAAGTGCATCAGCAGGAATGGTCATCCTGAGCCTCGTATTATCTGGTTTAAAGACGACAACCCTCTGCCTGAAGAAAAGAAAAAAACAGAAAGTAAGTTCAGAATCTGCAATGTGTCAGAATAAAGGGGCTCGCACAACAAATGCACCAAGCTGTGCTGTGATGTGCATTTGACAGTTCAATTCTTTACAGTTCAATTCAAAACTTTATTTCTATAATGCTTTTACAATGTAGATTGTGTCAAAGCAGCTTAACAAAGAAGTTGTAGTACATTGAAAGTGTGTCAGTCCAGTCTTCAAAGTAAAAGTTAAATTTTGTTCAGTTCGGTGAGGTTTAAATTACACTTTTGAAAGTCCAAACCCTGAAGAACAAATCCATTGATGCGCAGCTTCACAAGTCCCAAACCAAGCAAGCCAGTGGTGACAGCGGTGAGGAACAAAACTTCACCAACTGATGAAATTAAAGTAAAGAATAATAAACTGGCAAGAAACATGGCTCAGTTGGGCTCAACCATTTTTTCTCTGGCCAAACTTCCTGTGCAGAGCTGCAGTCTAGGCACTGGAGGCTGGAGAATGCTTCATGCTTTACGTATGTCACCGGCATGTGTACAGGCTGGCCCATAGGATCAATACTGAGACTCGTCTGTCACTGGGGTCTCATGCTCTTCACTCCCCCATGACTGAGCTCAGGATACTCAGGATACGGCCTGGTCTATGATTATGGAGACCTTGGGATAATGAAAAACAGACTAACATAATAGTAGATGATGTTTAAATTCTTTTGTCAAGTGTTCCCAGCTACGGTTGCTTTCAATAACAATTATACTTAACAATACTTCAGAGGATGTGGATTATAAAAGCATTTGTGTTTTATGTGTATGCTAATGCAAAGAGATGTGTCTTTAATCTTAAACTGACAGAGCGTGCCTACTCTAGGAAGGCTGTTAAAGAGTTAAGGTGCCAGATATGAAAAAGATCTACAGTTGATTTTGATGTTCTGGGAATAATCAATTGTCCAGAATTAATTGAGCGTAGTGGATGTGAGGGGCTGTAATACACCAGGAGCTCTCTCAAATACTTGGGAGCTAAGCCATTCAGGACTTTGTAGGTAGTAAATAAAATAAAAAAGTTATACCATATTATATTTAATAGGGAGCCAATAAAATGATAAAAGAACTGGAGTACTATGATCATATTTCTTTGTTCCAGAAAGCGCTCTAGCAGCTGCATTCTGAACCAGCTAAAGTTTGTTAATTAGGCCAACAGGGCAGCCACCTAATGCATTACAATAGTCTAACCGAGAGGTCATGGAGGCATAATTAAGCTTTTTCATATCAGACAGTAGCTATGTTTCCATCCAAAAATGCAAATTAACTTTATGAGAAAAACTGGATTATTGCATACAAGATGTGCGAATAAAGCAACGTTTCCATCCAATGATTCATCTTGGCATTTCCATCAACCGTTTTTTTATGCGCAACTCTAAAATGCACATAAAAATAGGTGGATAGAAACATAGCAAGTGATAGCATATCTACTACTACTACTACTACTACTACTACTGCTACTACTACTACTACTACTACTACTACTACTACTACTACTACTACAACTAATACTACTACTATTACTACAACTAATACTACTACTGCTACTATTACTACTACTACTACTACTACTACTACTACTATTACTACTACTACTACTACTACTACTACTACTACTGCTGCTGCTACAACTAATACTACTACTATTACTACAACTAATACTACTACTACTACTATTACTACTACTACTACTACTACTACTACTACTACTACTACTACTACTACTACTACTACTACTACTGCTGCTGCTACAACTAATACCACTACTATTACTACAACTAATACTTCTACTGCTACTATTACTACTACTACTACTACTACTACTACTGCTGCTGCTACAACTAATACTACTACTATTACTACAACTAATACTACTACTACTACTATTACTACTACTACTACTACTACTACTACTACTGCTGCTGCTACAACTAATACCACTACTATTACTACAACTAATACTTCTACTGCTACTATTACTACTACTACTACTACTACTACTACTACTACTACTGCTACAACTAATACTACTACTATTACTACAACTAATACTACTACTGCTACTATTATCACTATTACTACTACTACTAGTAATGATAATAATAACAATAAAAACAGTAATAACAGTAATAATAATAACAATAATAATAATAAAATAATAATGATAATAATAATAATAAAATAATTGCATACTGAACAATAAACTAACACATTCGAATGATTAAGAAGTCACCCACAATACTAAAAATTATTGAGACATATTTAATATCTTTCAGCATGTGAAGAGTTAATTTGCAAAAAATATTTTTTGATTTTTTTCATAAATGACATTCTTTTAACATTTAAAAGATTACTAAAACGAAAAAAAAACAAAAAAACAGTGGTGTTATCTGTTGATGCAAATAAACTCTTCATATATTTATTTATGGCAATTCCAACCCAGGCTCATTGTGGAAACGTAGCCCCGCGGACGTTTCTGCGGACCGCGATTTATGTCCCGGGAGGTACGTATTCGAGCGTTTTTTTGTTTTCGCGGATCCGCGAGAGGCCGCTGTGCGCGCTTTTTCGCGTCTCGGGCGGGCGCCTCTCGGGAGCGTGTGGCGTTCGCGCCCGCGCCGTTCTCGCGCGAATAGCCGCCGGATCAAAAAAAAAAAAAAAGCAAAAGCCCCCGTCTTCGATCTCGACCGCGTTTTCGGATCCCGCCGCGTTCTCGCCCTTATTTTCCGGATTCCGTTTTTCGTCTTACCTGATTTCCGGAACCCGCCGTTCCCCGGACTCGATCCCGGTCGTCGTCCACCGTGGCCGGCTCCGGCTCGTCCTCCTCCTCCAGGGCCTACACTCGGAGGCGAGCCGTCAGCCGGGCGAGCGTGAAGAGGAGGGGCGGAGCGGCGCCACACCGCCCCGCGGCGTTCGCTCGAAAAAAAAACAAACGCGGCCTTTACGTACCTCTGGCCACGTAAATCGCGGTCTCCAGAAACGTCCGCGGGGCTACATTTCCAGAATGAGCTTGGGTTGGGCAATTCAGTGCTGCAGTATGTAGTACTGCCACCTCACAGCAAGAAGGTCGCTGGTTTGAGCTTTAGCTGGGTCAGTTGGTGTTTCTGTGTGAAGTTTGCATGTTTGCATGCTCCTTGCGTTCATTCTTGCGTTTCCACCAGTTGCTCCGGTTTCCCCCACAGTGCAAAGACATGCGGTATAGGTGAATTGGGTAGGCTAAAATATAGTGTGTGTAGTGTATGAGTGTGAATGAGTGTGGGGTGGGTTAAGGATGGAATAAGGATGGGTTGCAGCTGGAAGGACATCTGCTGCCTAAAACATATGCTAAAAAAAGTTGGTGGTTCATTCCGCTGTGGTGACCCCAGGTTAATTAATAAAGAAACCAATTACATTCTGCTATCCTCCACCTAGACTTTTAGATTTCTTACAGTAAAATTAATCTTGTTTCTTTCTCTTTGCCAGAAACATACATGATACATTTTTTGGTGAAGGAAGCCTCAGGCCTGTACACTTCGACCAGCATGCTGTACATGCACCTGACGAAAGCTGATGCTAAATCAGTCTACCACTGCATAGTGGAGTACACCATGCCAGACAACCAGATCAAACAGGAGAGCTCCGATAACTTCAACATCTCATTGCAATGTGAGTTTTACACACAAACACACACACAATGAAATCTCCACCACTACTGCATATGTACTGTACTGCATATAAACTATTACTCCTCCAATCAGATTCAACAGAAAACGTCTTCTTCAAAGTGAAGAACGAGGGGCCAATCAAAGAGGGCGATGATGTGGTGATGCAGTGTGAGACTGATGGAAACCCTCAGCCACAGTTTGATTTTTTTAAAGGGGTAAGAGACCATACATGCCAAATCACAACCAACTGATCTAGTAATGGTCATTACTCTTACTCATGTGTTTTCTCGCTCACTCATAAGGAAAAATCGCTGGAAGGATTGGGAGGCACTTTGGAAAAAAAGAGCATTACTCGGGAGGATTCTGGAACTTATAAGTGTGAAGCTATGGATTATGAAGCTGACAGCAAAGTCCAACTTTATAAAACTCTAAATATAAACGTGCACTGTGAGTATATAAACAAGTCATAATAACTAAAATAAAGTATGTGAATAGTTTATTAATTCACAAAGTTTCCAATACTGGGTTGCGGCTGGAAGGGCATCCGCTGCATAAAAAGATATGTTGGTATAGTGGGCAGTTCATTCCCCTGTGGCAACCTCTGAAATAGAGACTAAGACAAAGGAAATTTGAAAGAATAAATGATTTCACTATGATCACACTAACATTTACATCTTTTAGAAGAGTTAAATACATATTTTGAGAAAATGCTCATGAATTGGAGAAATTACTGTTATTATTATTGCATGGGCTGTACATATATGCTTTGGAAAACAACTGTGGGGATAAATTAAAGAGGATAAATTAAGAGTTCCTATAAAAAGATTCAAGTTCACTGGATTTACAGCATTTATTATTGGTGGTTTTTATTTGAGATGTTAATAAGTCTGATACCATTCTTTCTAAATTCTAATTGAAATATGGTCATTTAGAGAATTTATTTATTTCAGAGCATTTTATTAGAAAATGCCAGTTTTTTTTAACTCAGGGCTATTTCACCAAATGAAGATCTAACTTAACTGTTGCATTTCAATGTTCAACTGTTCTTTTAATTTATTCTTTGTAATTATATTTCTTATTTATACTTTCAATCTTTAGTTATTTTAACTTTTGGGAATTCATTTAATTTGTTTTTGTGGTTTTTAATATTAAATTTATTGTATTTCACTTAGCTGCAAATGCTACATTTATATTTTTAGAATGGAAAATATCTGAAATGCAAAAAAAAAAAAA